CTACTACTACTACTACTACTACTACTACTGCTACTACTACCACTACTACTCCTACTACTACTACTACTACTACTACTACTACTACTACCACTACCACTACTACTACTACTACTACTACTACTACTACTACTACTACTACTACTACTACTAGTAATAATAATAATACTACAACTACTACTACTACTACTACTACTACTACTACTACTACTACTACTACTACTACCACTACCACTACCACTACCACTACCACTACTACTATTACTCATTTTCTTTCTCCCCATTCCCTCATCCACCCATCCAGCCTCATCCTTCTCCTCCTCCCTCCTTCGCATGGTTCGGCCGTCCCCCTCTTTGATGCCGCACTTCCCTGAGCACCTCAACTCGCCTGGACATCGTTTCTGGATGGGCCGGTGGGGATTTTTTGTTCGCGAACGCAAACGGAAGGGCCGCGCGCCGTCCAAGCTACAGCTAACAAGCAAGAGCCTAAATTGCACACTGGTGCGGGTACTTTTTCGTCGCGGCCACAAGCGGAAGCGAAGGCGGCGTCCGAAGTCAGCCCGGGCTACGAGCCAAACGTAATTACCTAAGTGCGCGAACTAACGGCCGCCGAAACTGCCGCCGAAGGACGCCGAGGAGCGACGCCGGGGACTGAAGGCAGAGCTGCAAGAGGTGCCAAGTGTGCCACGCGGCGGAAGCGCAACCTTTCCAGGGGCGAGACCACCGGGAAGGAAACAAATTGTACCTTGTCGCGCCAGGCGCCAGAAGTAAACGAGCCACCCGAGCAAAGCACGGCATAGCGTGGGGCTGAGCAAGCAGCCCAGCGTACCTGTGTCGCATGCCAAAAGTGGCACCCTCAGGTGGTTGAACAAGAAAGCTAAGCCACTCATGAGCAAACCAAGTGGAGGTGGCCACTGCAACGCGGCAGCCGCAAACACGGCCAGGCTGTGGCAGTGTCTGGGGACCATGGGCCGGGTACATGCGAGCATGCTAGCTGGAGCTGGTCGACGTGCAAGTCAGCGGGACGCCAGGGTTACCTCACTACTGCTGGGATATTCTTGTCGCGGCCGCCAGCGAAAGCGCAGGAGGCGTCCAAAAAGGTCGAGCGGGCCACGTGCGAGCCTGGTGGGGATATTTTTTCCTCGCAGGCGCGAGCGGACGCGCAGGCGCCGAGTCGAACCTGGTGGGGATACTTTTGGCTCGCGGCTCCAAGGCGAGGGACATGGAGCGAGCACAACGTCCGGGGCGCGGTACGTAGATAGCTGGCGCGAGATTGGTGGGGATACTTTTTGGTTCGCGGCTCCAAGGCGAGGGACATGGAGCGAGCACAACGTCCGGGGCGCGGTACGTAGATAATTGGCGCGAGATTGCCGCAGACTCCAACGGACAACACACGCAGCGGCACATGCACATGCCAGGGACAAAATGCCCCTCATTGAAACGCATTTCAGCGTCTGCTGGTGACCGGCCCAGACAGCCCGGCTGGTGGGGAAGCAAAAGGCGCGGCAAGCGGCAATGGAACGGGGGGGAGAAGTCGCCCTTGCGGCGCCAAGCTCCAAAAATGCTGGCGATCGTACATCTGCCGATCACCCGCCTAGCCAGGCCCTCCCCCGTTCCCCAAACAAACATGTCTTAAAAAACGGCCTAAGCATCGGCCCTCGGAAGTCCGCGCGGATTTAACGGGACTGGCGCAGGATCCCCCCCGGCGCGATCCCAAGAGATCCGCCCGGCCCTCCAAAAAGTTATGCGTACACGTTGGTCGCTGAAAGCAAGAATCGATATGTGTTTGTTGTTTTGTTATTCCGTGGGCGGGCCCGAACCCAATTTACTTGGCCCGCCGTCCTAGTTCATGTTTCCACCTACTTCTTGCGACGGGCGGGTGTGCTGTTTATACCGACGCTGCTACACTTATTTCTTCGATCCCCACCTCCCCCACACTGGCTCCTCGTCGCTCACCGGGCGGGGCGGGGCCAGCTCATCCAACTCGGGGGGCGCCCCCCGGGCAGGCACGGAGCCCTGGTGCAGCACCGAGATGTGCGTCCTCGCTGGAGGTGGGGGGGAGAGATGGAGGAGGAGACGACGCAACCCGCACGTCAATGTCTGAACCAACTGTGTGGGAACAGAGGGAGGACAGCGGCGCCCGCAGGGTGGCGCTGGGGTCTTTTCTGCACGCTACCCCGTTACCACTTTCGCCACCTGCGGAGCCGAGGAAGAGGAGGAGGAGCAGCAGCAGCAGGAGGGGGAGGAGAAGGAGGAGGAGCAGCAGGAGGAGGAGCAACAGCAGCAGCAGGAGCAGGAGGGGGAGCGCACGCGCAACGATTGAATGGGCCGGTGCCGTTCGCAATGGCCGGCAGGCGCCCAAAATCACCCATGAGACGCGAGAGGCCCGCAGCAGGCCCAAAAGAAGGCCTCAGACCCCGAGTGGCCCCAAAAGGTCTTAGTCATGTTCCCTCTTCTGGTGGACCTCTCATGCGAGTCTCCTCCTCCTCCTCCTCCTCCTCCTCCTCCTCCTCCTCCTCCTCCTCCGCCTCCTCCTCCTCCTCCTCCGCCTTCTTCGCCTCCCTCTCCCGAATCTCTATGCCGTTCTCATTCGTGGTCTCCTGAATTCTCACTCCTCACCCTGCGCCCTCCACGTCCTCCTTGTCCTCTCCTCCTCTCCTCCTCCTCCTCCTCCTCCTCCTCCTCCTTCTCCTCCTCCTCCTCCTCCACCTCCACCTCCTCCTCCTCCTCCTCATCCTCCTCCTCCTGACCAGACCCTACAGAATCACCCACACAGGCTGAATACCCTTCGGCCATAACGGCTGAAACCCATTTCGTCAAGAAAGACAGTCAAGCCCTCACCTCGCCCTAGCAACTTCCAAGGGCTCTTCAGTTCGTCTGGGGATCGGCGGAATGTCGTAAGCCTCTTGAATCCGCCGACCCTGTCGGCGTGTGTGATGGGCTTGTCGGTTCGAGTCGTCGTCGTCGTCATACGTTAGTCGTCGTCTCCGTCGTTTCATTTCCCTGCGCCCCCCTTTTCCCTGGGCCCGTCGCCGCTCCCCCCCATCGCCGCTCCCCCCCCCTTCCCTAGGCCCTCCTCCTCAAAACGCGCCAGCCAAAGCGAAATTGAGCAACGTCGTAATTGTTTCGAAGGGAAGCCCCTTCCCCTTGATCCGTCCTCCGCCGGGAGGGGGGAGGGTCCCGAGGGGATGCCGGAGGGGCTCCCGGGGGGGGGAGGTCCCGGGTCAGATACGACTCCCCCCTGGGGGTTCCCGGGACCCCCAAAAAAACCAAGACGGGCCAAGAGTGCCCCAAGAGGCCCCCAAGACTGTCCAAGAGAGCCCCAATCGCCGAACGATCTGTCCAAGACGCCTTGACGGCCTCCAGACGGCCCAAGAGCCCTGTAAGACGCCCACGAGGCCTGCAGGAGCACTCCCAAGAACTGAACTCCAGGGGAAAAATCACTGAAACTCCCATTGATTCTTGACGCATTTCGGGATTCTCGCCTCTTCGGCTTCCCGACGCTCCAACAAGGCCCCAGAGGCCCCCAAGACGGCTCCAAAAGGGTGCCCAGACGAGGGACTAGAACGGACATTTCGAGCCCTCAGCCCCGAGAGGCTCCCAGGAGGAACCAAGCGGCCCCCGAGAGGCCCCCAAGAGGCCCCAAGAGGTCCCCAACAGGCCCCCAGGAAGCCTCGAGAGGCCTTCAAGAAGCTCCCAAGAGGCCCCCAAGAGGCCCCTGAACTGTTCCCCAGAGGCCCCCGAGAGCGCTTCGAAGAGACCCCAAGAAGCATCCATGAGGACTCTGATCCACGTCAGCGACGTCGTCGTCGTCGCCGCCGCCGCCGTTGCCGTCGTTCCCCTTCAGGGTCGGCGACATCGGCCGTAAGGCCTTCGCAAGAAGAAGGAAAAGCTCAGAGTGAGTAGTGAATGGGATGAGGATGAAGATGAGAAGCGAGGAGGAATAGGAGGAGCAGGAGAAGGTGGGAGAGGGGGTGAAGGAAGAGCAGGAGGGGGACGGAGGACGGAGGAAGAGGAGGAGGAGTCAGGACGGGAGGAGGCGCGAGGAGGCGTCTGGAGGACCAAAGAAAAAAGAGTTAGGAGAACGGCAAAAAGTGAAGAGGAATAAGAGCCAGCGGAGTGAATCATGATAATAGCGATGGAGAGGAGCATGGGGAGCAGCGAGGACTAAGAAGGAGCGCCAAGGGTGGTACTGATGTTGATTATGGCGATGATGGTGATGGCGGTGCGCTCAAATTAGCGGGTTTGTTTTAGAATTGCCTTGAACACACAAAACATGTGTTGGAACTCTGTAAACATATATATAAATGTATCACTATATATATATATAATATATATATATTTTATATATATATATATATATAGCATACCGCCATGCTGCGCAGTTCAAACGACCAGACTCTGCTGTCCCCCAGAACAGAATCAATGTTCCCAAACGTGCTGGGTGGCGGATATGGTCGCTGCCATGTCCGCCGACCCCCGCTTGCCCGGGGGGGAAATGCGTGTCAGACATTCAGCTGTCCCCCTCCCCCGTTTCCGTCTCCTCTGGAATCCAAAATCCTGTCAGAGTCAAATTGTGCCTGTCCCTCAACAGGAAGAATATTCAAACAACAGTCACAAATCATACAGGGACGATGTTTGCACTATCTGTGACTACTTCTGGACATGCTCTGAATAGTATCCATTTTTTTCGTCCAAGATCCGCCTGTAGGGGGGCGTGCACGACCTAGTGTCAGAGGGCAGGCGGGTGGGGTGTGGGTGGGGTGGGTGGCGGGGGGGGGGAGACGGCGAGCAGCGGCGCACCTCCTGGGCCCCCGGAGGCTCTAAAAATTGAAGGGGCCCTGGGACACACAAGTAGATACACACAAATATAAAAGGATTCCCCATATCTTCCCATGTCTTCTGGGTCTCTGCCTTCCCCCCCACTGCCCATATTTTCCCACATTTTCTGGGGAATCGACGATCAATTGTGTCTGTGTGTTTTTTCTTCTCCTGATAAGTCCACCCTCCGCGGCCTCAAGGATGCCGGATGCCCAGGATGCCCTCTGAGATGGCTCCAGAAGGGCTCGCGAAGGGCCACCACACGCTCGAGGGGCCTCCCGAACACATCCAAGGCAGGACGGTCCAAGAGGCCCCGAAGACGCCCAACGAGGCCCCCTAAGAGGACCCACAAGACGGACCCGAGAGGCAAAAGATATTGCGTTTCCACGTGTTCTCGCCATTCCGATGGTCTGAGAGCCCGAGACGGCCCCAGAAGCCTCCCAGACCAGCTCCAGACGGAGGACGAGGTCCCCAAGACGGCCAAAAAGACGTTCAGGAGAGCCCAAGCGGCGGCAAGAGAGGCCCGAGAGGGGGGGGGACTCGTCGCGGCCCAAGGAGCCCTCAGGATTTGCCCCGAGTACGCCCCCAAAGAGGCCCCCAGGGAAAAAAAAACCCAGGACAAGGCCCCAAGAGAAGCCCCCCGGACAGGCTGCGAGGCGGCTCCCGAGAGGCCGCCGCCCCCGAGGCCTCCAAGGGAGGCCCCCGAGAGGCCCCCGCCCGCGCGGAGGAAGAGGAGGACACACACCAGCAACAGCTACACATCCTCCTCCCCCAGGTGGGAGGAGGAGGAGGAGGAGCAGGAAGAGGAGGAGGAGGAGGAGGAGGAGGAGGAGGAGGAGGAGGAGGAGGAGGGAGGAGGGAGGAGGGAGGAGGGAGGAGGGAGGAGGGAGGAGGGAGGAGGGAGGAGGTGGGCGGCGAGCGAGGGGGGGAAGTGAGCAACAGCTACAGTCGGGGCCTTGACCTAAGGAACCCTAAATAAGGAACGAGGCCCCTTTTTCCATACGTTAACCTTCGATTTCCGATCGAAAACATAAGAAAAAGCTGAGGCAAGCTGCGAAACACTTAAGGAACGCGGAGCCCCTCCCCAACGAAGAGGGTTCCTCCTTCAGGGCCCCGACTGTATACATCCTCCTCCCCCAGGTGGCAAGGGGGGGCGGCGAGCGAGGCGTGGAAGTGAGAAGGGGCGGGCCCTCTCGGAAGGCTCGGAGGCCCCCCGGCCTCTTAAGAAGCTCTCCGAGCCTTCCCCGAAGACGCGGAGAACTTCTCAGAAGGCGCGAGGGCTTCTGAGAAGCCCCGGCGCCTTCCGAGAGGGCCTGTTCCTTCACGGTTACACCACATAAGTTCTGCTCTCCTCTCTCTCTCCTGATGACGTCTGGAAGAAATCCGCCCCCCTCCGTGAACTGTTTTTTACCCACAGGATTCCTGGGAAATGGGTTTTCGCATGGGTGTGTTTTCAAAATGTTGCTCCCGCTGAAGCGCTGGTCCCATTTCTGCGCCTCTGGTTATTCCAAATCGTGCTCCCGCTGCAGCGCGGGCGTTTTCGGTCCTTCCAGATAGGCTCCAAAATCTAGAAAATGCCCCCTCGAAAAAACCATCGGAGGTGATTTCACATTCGGTGTCGGTTCGTTGATTCTGGGCCGCAGAAGCCCCCCCACTGGGGGGCGCCGTCGCTGTCAGGAAGTATCAAGCGGGAGCCCCCTTTCTGCTTTGAGAAGGCGATGTTGGAAGCAGAGCCAGCGGGTGCTCTCCATCAGCCCCGCCTTGTGTGGAGCTTTTCGGGGAGCCCAAGTAGCTGGACATGGAGCCACGACTCCAGACCGATCCAGACCTCTCGAAAACGATCCTCTTACCCTCCAAGGAACCCGGCGCCATGCCATGACATGCTGTGCGGTGTTGCGGTCTGCGCCGCTGTGCGATGCCATGCTTTGCGTTGCAATGCTTTGTGATGCAATGCTTCACTGCGAAATGTCACGCCATGCTATGGCATGCTACGCTCTGCCGTGCTCTTCTACGTCATGCCATGCCGTGCTCTACCATGCATCGCATACCCTCTCGCGATCATTACCTTGCTAGACATCCGACTGTGCGAATACAGAGGATATCTACGCCATGGTGTAAGGGATGGGAGGGAGGGGTAGGACGTCAGATATGACGCGAGCGCACCTAGCTTGCCGCTTCACCCCCTCGCTCGCCGCCGATAGGGCGGGGGTGGGGCCGGCTCCTCAGCCAGCGATCCGCCTCCCGCTGCAGCTGCCCCTCGCCCTCGTGCTGGATCTCTGCCTGCTCTGGCGCATCCTGCTTCTCCTCCGGGGACAGCTCACGGGGCCGACAAAGACGAAGCCAGAACGAGGATAAGGTCCGGTGAGGATAAATCGGGAATCTCCGGCATCTCCGTCTGGTCCCCCCTCCTCCTCCCCCTTGTGCTCCTTCGCCCACTCCTCCTCACTGTCCTCCTCGCCCGTCTTCTTGAAACTCCCTAGAACTTGCAAGGAGCCCCGACAACCCCCATATGACCAACTGGACCCGTTGAAACCATCCTCCTCCCCAGGAACCAACCTCCAGAAACACCGAAGACCAATCGAGAAGCCGAAGGTCGCCGGACGCGTCACGGCCGCAGGCTGAGTCTGGCCTCAGGGAATAGCACACAGGGCACCAACCAGTACCCAGGCCTGGCCCACCCTG